AAAAAAATTGATGAGCTGTGGTTGGATAATGGAAGAAGGACAGTGGGTTTTTTTAGGCAGTGGCAAAAACCTAGTCATAATTAAGTTTAAATGTTTGGTAGAAGGTAGAACTTGTAAGTGATGAACTTGGATATCTGACACTTCTAAGCAAGATATTAAAGAGACCACATCATTTTCTCCTTGAGTTTATATGAAAATGCTAGAGGAAAGAGATAGACTTAAAAATGAACTGTGCAAAATGAAAACAAAACTTGAAAGATTTATAAAATTCAGTTGTACAAACTAAGGACACATGTTCTAGAATTTTCACCAAATACTTTGCTGCACAAACTTTCGTTAAAGAGATTAATTCTGTGACTGATGGATCTAACCAACTACCATATCAGAAAATTCATCCACTTAGATTGAAGGGGACAGAAAAAGAGTGAAAGAGAATGCTGTGTGTGTCTTGGAATTCTACAGGCAGGAAACTGGCCAAATTAGTTACATCTGTTGTCCTCCAAGAAAAGTAAAGAGCCATCCTTGGAGCAGCTCGAGATCTGCAGAACTGTTGGAAGAGCACTGGAAGCAAAGCTATATAGATCCCAAACGGTGAGACCATGACCTCTAGGGTTCCAAAGAGTGGAGCTGCAGTCTTGTATCTCAAAGAGTGAGACTGTAGCCTCTTAGGTTTTAAAGAATCAGATATTTGCCAACTTGGTTCCCAAGTATTGAGGCTATCATTCACAAGTGCCAAGGATCCTCCTGGGACTGAGGGAATAAATTCATCAATTATAAGTGGTCGAGGAGATGGTGCTGCCGAAAGCCAATGGAGCAGAATTACTGTTCCAGTGATTCTAGAATGTGAAGCTGAAGCCTACTGCTGAAGGGCCTTCACCCACTAATCCAGAGACCATGGCTAACACCCAGAGGTTAGAGGGCAGGGCCGTTACCTACATGGTGTCAGAGGACATAGGATTATCTTCAAGCCTTGAGGGCTAATATAAATTGTTCTGCTTGGGTTTTGGACTTGCTTGGTAACTATTATCCTTTCTTTCCCTTCAATTTCTCTGATTTGGAATGGAAATGTCTACCTTGTTCCTGTTCCACCATTGTACTTTGGAAATAGATAACTTGTAGTCTAAATTTCACAGGTTCACGTGAAAGATGAAGAGGAATTTTGCCCCAAGATGGGATATGCCTAAAGTTTTACCCATATTTGATTTAGATGACTCAGAAGATGTGATGGGGTGAATGTATTTTGTATGTGGCAAAGACATAAATTGTTGAGGGCCAGAGGATGGAATGTCATGGATTGAATTGTGCTTCCTAAAAATATGTATGATTTTGCTGAGTCATCACTCCCAGTATTATGTGCTTGGCCTCCGTTTTGTGATCTGATGTAATTGGCCTCCATTTTGTGATGTGTTGTAAATGCTAACCTCTGTGTGTGTTATTGAGGCAGGTTTTCTATGGGGTGTTTATTTTTGAGTCATCACCCTTACACAGCACACTGCTTGGGTCATACCTTTTATCTTACAAAAGAGAAAAGGAAAGAGAAACTAGCAGACAGGAGAGTGACATCACTACTACCAAGAAAAAAGATCCAGGAATGAAGTGCATCCTATGGACTGGTATCCCTGTGCTGAGAATCTTCTAGACCCAGAGGAAGATAGATGCCAAGAAACAGAACTCTCTGAGAAACCAGGAAGCAGAAACTGAAGAGTCGAGGACCTTTCTCCAGAGCCAGCAGAGAGAGAAAGCCTTCCCTTGAGTCAGCATTCTGAATTCTGACTTCTAGCCTTCTTAACTGTGAGGAAATAAATTTCTGTTTGTTAAAATCATCCACTTGTGGTATTTCTGTTATAACAGCACTAGATCACCAACACATAATGCACAAGGGGGCTTCAAAAAGTTCATGGAAAAATTAAGCTCTTTCAATTCCATTTTCTATAAATTTTGAAGCCCCTTCATATATATATGAAATAAATATATTAAACATGCAGATAAAAGTATTTAATTTTAAATACATGTATTTTTAAGACTGAATATTTTTATTTGCATGTTAAATGTAAAATCTTATTTTCATTATGAGACACATGACTTCTATGTTGGCTTACAGAATATTATGCATGTATTTGGTTTTTATTACTACAGACTTCTGAGAGAAGATTCATGGTCAGATATACATTTTTGGAGGACACAAAATGAAGTTGGAGTCAATGGAGAATAAATGTTTAAAATAAATAGATAATATTTAAAGAAAACCGCCACTCCTCAGAAACCCTATAAAGGGGTGTTATAAGTCAAACCTACTCGACGGCACTTAACAACAACATAGATCATTTAAAAGTTTTTCCTGAATACTTAATGTATACAAATATATGGTGTCTACAGTATATACATGCCCTTTAACTCCAGAGTAGTAGAGTGTAGGTAACAGAGGGATTGTGGGACACTTAGAATACACTAGGGGAAAGGTGGTAATACACGTCATAGAGGAAAATTAATTGAGCACAATCCTGAGTAGAAAGGGGAATATAGTCAGAGTCTAGGAGGATGCCCACATGAGGTTTTAAGCCCTATGTGGAATGGTGATTGTGTGGTTTTCCTTGAGAATAGCAATCGAGGAAGACACAGAAACTGGAACCAAAAATGAACCTGTTAAGAAGTATAGTGAGGACCTTGAGGATACTAAGAAGAGTGTAGTGTCAGGTACTTTGTAGGCTCTATGGAGCAGAGTCATGGTCCCTAGAGGATGACATTAAGTCTGAATTTGGTCATTGGGTAATCTATAGATTTTTTTTCTTTTTCATATCTTCCCCTTAACCACAGGTTTTTTAATTGCTATATCAGCACAAAATGGAAGATTAAGGAAGTTTTCTTGTTAGTTTAAAATAACTTACATAGGCAAGTTAGTTGGTAGATGTATAAACTTTCTTGAGACAGCTTTTGAAATTTGTTGCTTTTAAAAAAATCCTTAAATTATTCTGGTGAATAGTGGACTTTTTCAGTTCTACTGAAGTTTTGTTGTTTTTTATTATTCCATTCCGCCCCTACCTTTAAAGTCTTTCCTTCCTTCAGCAGATGTTTATTAAGTGAATGATGTGTTCCATGTAGTCACTTTCTATTGAGATCCTATACATAATAGTGGTAGTGGTTATATGCCATGGAGTCGGTTCTGACTCTTAGCGACCCTGTGTAGGGTTTCCAAGGCTGTAAATCTTACGAAAGCAGAAAAGCCTCATCTTTTTCTCCCACAGAACAGCTGGTAGTTTCGAACTGCTGACCTTTAGGTTAGCAGCCCAACTCATAAACACTACACTACCAGAGCTCCTTATATACATAATAGAATCCCCAAATCTACCTGAAGTAGGAGAGAGAGAGAAGAAAGGAAATTAGAAATCATATTTACATCTGAAGCCGTTCATTGCCTTTCATGTGTCAGTCTGTTTGAAATTTTTAAAGAAAGATAGTAAGAAATGAGATGTGGACCAACTTTTCAGAATACTCACTCTAGAAAAGAGATATATATGCATTGAATGATGGTGACAAAGTTTTGGGGCTTCTAGCACTCTCTT